GTACATCTAGGACTGCTTAAGAACTCGCGTTAGTTCCATTGCAGGTCTAACAATACGCCAATATTTCTTGCAGTTGACGCTGAATGCACTTTAACCTGCAGAAACCCCACATCAGTCCATCCATTTTACCTCCCGTCGTTGATCCACTAAATCCCCAATCCTCTCTTACGTAGGTAGGTAGTGCTTTCAGCAAACCATCTGGTGAAAAATGAACGACATATAGTGAGTGGCCTTGTATTTAGAACAAATTGATATTGAGCGAGTACACTAGACTATGGGGCGGCGCAAACAGTAATCGAATACCGGTCATCTTCTGACCAATCCCCCAGCATGACCTATCTATAGCTTCAACACAGAAACAACCAGTAATGCAACGTTAGTATTACATTACTCGTCCATGACGGCCGCAAACTTGTCTGTCATCTTCTGTTGAATCTCCTCGTACTAGAATTTGAGTTAGCACATGCATTTGTGTTTGCCACCAAAGAACAACTTACTCTCTTGGAGATCACATCCTGGCCGTCGGTGGGAACCTCAAACTTCAACTGTCGTAGGTTGGCTTGCAGGTCAGAAGTAGCCTCTCGTACCTTGGCCCAGCTCTGGCCTTGCGCGATGACCTTCTGGGCTTCATCGTGGAATCCCACCATGAGCTTCATCATCCACTCTGTCTTCCAGATAGGACAGAACTGGTCATAGTCCGAGTAACCGTTTTGCTGCAAGAAATCTTCCTTGATCAGGCCTGCGATATCCAACGTAATCTTGTCGGGATCAGACAGGGCACTCTTTCCAACAAGCTGAACAACCTGGTCGAGCTCCTCGGAATCAGACAGAAGTTGCTTGATGCGGTCGCGGAGTCGAGGGAAGTCGGGGTAATTCTTCTCGTAATACTTATCCAAAATGGTGTTATACTTGCTGTAAGATAACGATGTGTTGATGGACGGGAAATGTTTTCGCTGCGCAAGCTTCTTGTCGAGACCCCAGAAGACCTGCACAATACCCAGAGTGGATGTAGTAACGGGATCCGAGAAATCACCACCGGGAGGACTGACGGCACCGACGATACTGACACTGCCCTCGCGCTCGGGAGAACCCAGAGTCTGAACGCGACCAGCTCGCTCGTAGAACGAGGCAAGCTTGGCACCCAGGTAGGCGGGGAAACCCTGATCAGCAGGCATCTCTCCTAGACGACCAGAAAGTTCTCGAAGAGCCTCAGCCCATCGGGAAGAGGAGTCAGCCATCATGGCCACGTTGAGACCCTGGTCGCGGAAATATTCAGCAACAGTAATTCCAGTGTAAATGGAGGCTTCTCGGGCAGCGACAGGCATGTTCGAGGTGTTGGCAATGAGGGTAGTTCGCTTCATGATAGGTTCCTTGCGGCCATCGACCTCAATGGTGAGCTCGGGGAAATCCTTCAAGACTTCGGCCATCTCATTGCCTCGCTCACCGCAACCAACATAGACGATAACGTCACTGTTGGAGAACTTGGACACAGACTGACTAATGACAGTCTTTCCGCAACCGAAAGCACCGGGAATCGCGACGGTACCACCTTGAACACTAGGGAAAAGGGCGTCGAGAACTCGCTGACCGACAATGAAGGGCTGGTCGGCGGACTTCTTGTCGTTGGAGGGACGTGGTACTCGGACAGGCCAGGATTGCATCATGGGGAACTCTGTCTTCTTGCCATCGAACTCGACCTCGAGAATGTTCTCGACGACGGTGTACTCGCCCTTGGCAGCGATTTTGGTAACGGTTCCTCGTGCACGAGGAGGGAACAGGATCTTGTGGTCTGCGAGGAAAGAGTTCTCGAAGACAGAGCCCCAGACATCACCACCAGAAAGGTGGTCGCCGACCTTAACGGAGGGTGTGAACTCCCACTTCTTCTCGCGGTCGAGGGCGGGGACGGCGATACCGCGGGGAATATAAATGGACTTGGCTATCTTGGAAATAGCCTCGAGGGGGCGCTGGATACCGTCGTAGATACCGTTGAGGAGACCGGGACCGAGCTCGACTGACAAGGGCTTTCCGGTACGGGTAACAGGGTCACCCACCTTGACGCCGGCTGCGATGATGATTAGCTTGTTATTGTTGGAGTCTCATCATGGGCTGTCATACATGTCTCCTCGTAAACCTGAATAGAGGCCTGGTCGCCACTGATTCGAATAACTTCACCAACGAGGTTGTCATGTCCTACTCTGACCTGCAATAGCGGTGGGTTAGATCGTGGCGGATGATGACGATGAAGGATGATAGCAACTGACCAACTCGTACATGGCAACACCAATCATGTCCTCAGCCACGACGACGGGACTGTATAAAGTCAGCATGACATGTTGACAGTCAAAATATCGATTCGAGTGTATTTTTGGGGATCGAGAACAGATCGCAGGCTGAAGAAAACGGTAGGTACTGACCCAGAAATGGAGTAGATTTTACCTGCAGATAGTGTTAGCGACACCGCAAGGTGCCTGAACTTGGTTAAAGAACATACCGGTTTGATATCCATCTTCCTCATTGGTCTTGCTGCTGTTGTTCGCAGCCTTTGATGTTTTCTACAGATGGTCGTAAGTCAGTATCGAGAACCAAGCAGCATAAAATGCGCCGCGTTGTCGCCAGCAAGCTTGGGGGAGGTCGGGAATCAACGCACAGGAGGCATCTTCAACGACGAAACTGGCGCGTTGTCTAATTGAAGATGAGGAGAGGTAGGAGAATGCGGCGACTGAGGCCGAATGGAAGATGCTGTCGAACCGGGGGAGAGGGTTGACGAAGGAGGCGGCTGAGATGAAGTTTGAGGTGTTGATGAAGGTGAATATGGAGACAGAGATGGAGATGGAGATGGTGGTGGAGAGTTTGGCAGAGGCACCTGGCGAGCTACGTCCACCAACGCTAGAGCTGCTGCTGCTTTCCCAGCTCTTGAGTGGAGCCAGGATGATGACGATGCTTTGCGGGTGGGGTCTCGAACAGCAGCAACGTTAACGGGAGGCGCAGGGGCTCTATCGCTGAAGCTCCCTCTGTAACGGCTCCCTCTGGCCCCGGAGCCTGAGCTAAGGCTATCGTCGTCAATGTCGCTCCCTTGCTCTCGCTGGCTGTTGTCGTCGTCGTCGTCGTCGTCTTCGCCTCTGGTGCGGATCAGATCCAGCAGGGAACGCCTCGCTTTAAGAGTAGGACGAATGCCGAGCATAAGCTACAGTTGATGCCTTTTTTGCGATAAATATTTTTTGGTTTCAAGCTCAGAGGAGTGTAAGTGGGAGATCTGGAGTATGTTGTTGATTAAGGTAGATGGGAGCCAATTCTCTAATGGGGCCCCCGGGGGGCAAGAAAACAGCGAACCTTACTGTGGGCTGTCAAAATAAACTTAGCAAAAGCTATCCTAAGCTTAGGCTATATCACCTAAGCCTTTTTGTCATTTAGGATCAAGGTCCCTTGTTTTCTTTCCCCCCCTAGGGGGCATAGCTGAGCTATAGGTTAGCGCTTGGACGGAGGCTGTACTGAAACATTATGCACAACAGCGCTACTGACCTCAGTGCCCAGTCGACATGAATTCGAGGGTACTCCGTACCTACATAGAAGAAGGGGAATGCCTTGAGGGCCCCAAATTCTTTGTTGGCAACCGAATAACTCATGAAATAGCTGATTTATTCACTTGATTTTGCTATAAGTAGTCCATTCCGATCCTGATGCGTCTGCCCTTCCTCCTAATGTATACCTACTGCCCAGTCCTGGACAGATACCTACATGCAGCTATCTCGGAGCAACTTTAGATAAATGACACTGGGCTTATTGTTTGATACAACTACCTTACGGTAAGTCTTGGATACCCAAACCTCAAATTTCTCAACTTCAGTTGCTAAGAACACCAGCCTATGAATTCTTTGCGCCATGAGCAGCGGTTTACTTTGTCTTCCTATCCGTGGACGAATACCGCACTTGGCATTGCCAGTTGACTATAGCTTTACCAAAAGGTCTATAAGTTTTCTCTCGATATGCTCCATCGCCGCCAGATCATGGAGGTTATATGTTGGGTTCCAAAGCGGCTTGTCTAGGAGGCCGAAAACCTCCATGTGCTCAAATATGTACCTAGGCTTTTTTGTGACAATTTTCTGGTACAGTCCCCAGTTCCTTAAGTCCATCTACCGAGCAGATCACATCGAGATGAGCCATTTGTCTGGCATCCAGCAATATTTACCAATCCGTGTTTTGTTTTTCACTCGTTCATCTTACAGTGGCAATCACTATTGCCACTATCTCAGGTTCTCTTAACCGAAACTGTACTTGTGTTCATGCAAAAATTGCTCGTGATAACTTCTAATCACAACTATGCGTATCCCCCCAACATCTCCCAAGCCTGAGCATCCTCATTCTCATGACCGTCAGAATGTGTCAACTTTTTCCTTAATCACATCTTGAATCTTAAAGTGATCCATATAACCGTTCCATAGAGGCACACAACAGCAGGAATATCATCTTGATATTGGCCAAGTGTGTATTACAACCACTTAGGTTGTTCCATATCTTCAGACAGACTCTTTCGCCTTCACATTCCATGCTACATTCTCAATACCCTATCAACATAGAAGAGAAGACGTGTCTCCCAGAAGAAGGGATAGGCCGGACACATAAAACCTGTGGAAGTACAATCTCACACCCCTGCTGGTGCGAATATCAAAGAGCTCCGGAGACTTTCTCGGATACATCCCAACTCTTCATAATAAGCAGCTCCATTGGCAATTGTAGTTCTTTACTGGTTGGAATCAGCTTACCTCCTCTGTTTTACGCGTCGTAACCCTATGTGATGATCTAAAAGCTGACAGCCTCCATTCTGGCGCCGTTCAGAAGTGTCAGCATCAAGCGCGATCACTACCTCGCGCGGCAGTTCGGATCTTTACCCTGTTGTTAATATCAAATAGGTACTTAGAGAAAGTGGGAATATAAAGGAGCAGAGATACGCACTTTTGTACGTTCTTCTTAGACCCATATCAAGATAATATTCTCACTGAATCATGGATGCCCAGAATCAAGAACTCAACTCCGACATCTGCGTCGTAGGAGCAGGACCACTTGGTCTTCTAGCTCTGAAGAACCTTCGCGAACAGGGGCTCAACGCAAAAGCGTTTGAAAGACAAGAGTACGTTGGTGGAACATGGCATGCGTCAAACAATATCGAGCAGACAACTGCATTGGAGTACACGACAGCCAACACCTCCAAGCAATGCGTATGTTTCTTTCTCTCTTCAAGGGGACAGATCGCAATATTAATAGGTCCCAGTGTTCCATTACTGATTTTCCTATGCCCGATGGTAAGCCAGCCGTACATTGCTCCTGTGGCCGTGGAGCTCATAGTATTTCTAGATTTCCCTGTGCACCCCCCTCAGAAGGATCTCGAAAGATACTTCGAATCTTACGCCGAACAGTTTGGCCTGTATCCGCACATACGATTCTCAGTCTCAGTCGACCATATAGAACGCGATGAGCCACGAAAAGCCTGGAGGGTCTTTCTCAAGGATGTTGAGACGGGGGTTGGAGAGGTCAGAACATTCGGTCGTGTAGTTGTCGCTACAGGCATGCTCAATACCCGCCATCTCCCCCACGTGAAAGGTCTAGAGAAGTTCTCTGGGGATGCAATTCACTCCCGTCAGTTTAAAGACGCCTCCAAGTACCAGGGCAAAAACGTGGTTGTCGTAGGTATTGGGGCAACTGGTGTGGATTCGACCTCGTTCTTGGTCAAAGCTGGGACCAACAAGGTCTATCTTAGCCATCGTGGCACCGTCTTCGTGGTAAGAACCCCAGCTCTAGTCAACTACAGCTTCAGATCCTGATCATTTTTTAGCTCCCCAGGAGAGTCAAAGGCAAGGCCTTTGAGCACACATTGAGTCGTCGTGTGTCTATTTGTGTGAGAACAATAGGCAACATCATGCCGAATATTTTTGCAGGTCTCATGACCAAGATGATGATCAATATGCGAGATAAAGAATGGCCACATTTGAAGGAAGTATTCGGTACCCGACCAGTTGATGGAGTCCTACATCGAGTTCCATTGTTCTCCGAGCATCTGGCCGATAACCTCAAAGATGGCACAGTCAAATCTGTCCAGGGCATCAAGGAAGTAACTGGTCCCAAGACTATTACTCTTACGGACGGCACGGTTTTGGAAGACGTCGATGCCATCATTTTCTGCTCGGGCTATGGCTATGACTTTTCTATCGTCAAGGGCCCTGGGGATCCGACCAACCCAGCCATTGCCCCTGACCACCACAAGCGGATTGAAGCGACCAAGTTCTACGGCGAGGAAAGCAAGTTTGCACGTCTTTTCCATGGCTTCGTCTCGGAACAGTTTCCTGAGTCGTTGGCTTTTCTTGGTCATATGATTATCATGAGACCTCCATTCGTACTTTATGATCTCACTACCATGGCTCTGGCGAGCTTGTGGTCTGGAGACTACCCCATGCCGTCTGCCGAAGAGAGGCGTAGGGATATTGATGATCACTATGATTATCTTGTCAAGACACTCCAGAGAGGCCCGGCTCCTCATCCTGGATTTCGGTGGAGGGCCAAGCCAACTTACGAGTTTCTGAACCAAGCAGCAGGTACAGGAGTCACCGATCGCTTGGGGTGCTTCACTTGGGAAGCCTGGAAGCTGTGGTGGAACGACCGAAAGTTTTACAACTTGCTTATGGACGGAACTGATGTGCCAGCGGTTTACAGATTGTTTGACACAGGTCGAGGTCGCAAGCCTTGGCCTGGAGCCAGAGAGTCTATAATGAAGACAAACCAGGAGGTGAAAGAGCTAGGAGAGCAGTGGAAGAGGGAGAATAGGGGCACAGACCACACGTAAGGCTAGAGATATGCTTCATTATCCTGTATCATATCTATGATATCTAGACCGCATCCTGACGGATTGAGAGAAGGGCTTCGAGTACCATTCTTGCCACAATAGACATATTTGATCATCCATGCAACTTCACATTCAGGCCTACTAAAATCTCTTGCAGAATCTTCAAAGCTCCCTCCTTGGCCACCAAGGCTGAAAAAGTCGCTTGTAAAACCGAGATGCCACACTCATCTCTTTCTGCAACATTTTGCATCCTTGTATGGTACGAGGAACCTAGTGTTGGTATGTCACAGCCATCCTGGCTCCGTGCCGCTCGTAGCATACAGATCTGCGACGACCGACATTCGCCGGTGCATTCTGGCTGTACCCAGCCTCTGCTGAGACGTAGCATGTACTCATCAAAGGCCGTCTGATTCCTCTCGAAGACCTCGGTGATGTTGTGCCAGAATGAAGCGGTGAGCTCCGCCGTATCGTCGATTAGGGGAGGGTTCGTGAGTGGGCCATATGTCTCCTTTGCAGAATAATACTTTACCCACATGGGGCCTTGAGTCTGGTACGTAGGAGACGTCATGTCGGCGCTGTAAGTAGTTGCATCGAGGACAGCGAACGTCACGGGATCAACATCGTAGACACGAAAAGAGGGCATTCCTGACATGGGCGTGAGTGAGGGGCCGACATATGATGTTACTAGAGCATTGTTGAAGGTCTTACCCGGAGTATCACTGTACGTAATCTGAAAGTGATCTCTGTGGGTGTGACCAAAGAACATGGCTGCGATGGTTGCTGAGTATCGGTTCACTACCTGGTTCAGGTAATTCGATTGATCGTGGAATGCGTTCCGGTCGCCCAGCGGCATGTGCCCAATAATATAGACACGCTCTCCGGCTTTCTCAGCAGCGTGGAGTTCTTCGACAAGCCAATCGATCTGCCCGCTGGGATCGCGCAGCATCTTCCTCTGGAAAAGCCAGAAGTTCCCACGATAAAACAGATTTGTGTTGAGAGAGATGACGCGCAAGTTACCATTGGGATATTTTGTTGAATAAGCGCCGATTCTTGCTGCTGTGGAGGCTGATTCGTGCCCGATCCAACGAGACCATGTCCCTGCGAGAAGGTCATAGATCCACGAGGAAGCATCGCCGATGGAACTAGGCTGGTAGGCGTTGGTGGGATGAGACTCGTGGTTGCCAGCTGTTCCGTAGACTATACCGAGATGTCTATCCATATGCTCATATGATCGAATAACTTGATAGGTTAGTTTTTTTGGTGAAGTATTTGAGTGAAGGGCGCTCACTTTGGTGCTCATTATAGTCCCAAGATGTGTTCCAGATTGAATGATCGATAATGTCTCCCGTAAAAATCGTGAAAGCGGCGTCGGGTACCAACTTTTTGATTGCTTCATACATGCTATGCTCAAGAGAAGCAGGAGAGTCGCAAGTATGCTCCCCATATGGTCCAGCCGGAGATACCGCTCTCCCAGGCTCGTCATTTTCTGTGAAAGGTCTTCTCAAGTCAACGAACAGCATCATAAGCACTGGTAAAGGCGTTACTGACCTGCAGCATATGGGTTTGTTGCACTCTGAACTCGACCCTTCAGTGTAGAGCTGGTCAACATGTATATCGGAATAGTGAACAACTTTGATAGGGTCTCTTCCGCTCGAGACTGGACGCTTTCGGTGCAAGTGGTCAGGAGGCACAGGGACTTCCCATTCGTCTATAGCAGGATAGTGGCAGAGGCCTAGAAATGTTACGCAAAAATGCTGCGAAGTCTTTGAACCGATGGCAACGTTTCGCAACGCCTCGGCTATAATAGGCCCTTGAAGCTCGATGGTTCCATCACAAACATCTGCATCCTCGACCTTGAACTTGTTAAATAGAGTCTTGTATCTTATAAGGACTTATTAGGCTACCTTTGACTTTTTGCATACGTCCTGTAGTGTGTTGATAAAATGTCGATCCCCCAGATTCGCAAGGCTCTTGAAAGTCACTAAAAGGCCCTACACCGTCATCTTCAGCTCTTTGTAGTCACATTCATGACCAGTTGCAACTCACCTGACATCCCGAACAAGACGAAACACTCTGTATTTGTTTCCATATTCGATCTGCCCAGTCATTTGTATACAAAGTCTTTTGGTTTTCATTGAGACCTTGAGGCACCACAACCTCTCCGTCAGTTCCGATAACCGCTGTTATGGCGCCAAGACAGGGTAGGAGAGTTGTTGATATGCGCATCTTTGTCGATGTGAGAGAAAGGGGAAAACGGTTGGTCTCAGAAATGGCGAAATAGGGAACAAGGTATACACTGAACTTGTTTATACAACACAAGTAAACCATAGAGACCATCAACTTATTGTCATCTTAAACAAATCATCTCCAAAATCGGCTTAGTGTAACCACTATAACGGCCACATGACCCAATTAGAGCAATCACACGAGTGCATAATGTCGGTATGGTATGTACCTAGGTAGACAGGAAAACGTCACCGCTGAGGTGGTCCATGTCTCATCTCCAGCAGCCAACCAGCCAACAACTACAACTAATTACTCCGATCTCAAATCCGCCCATCAAGGACGTTGGCAGAGGCTCAACGTATACAATAGTTGCGTGATTATTTCTTATTCATATCCATACATACATCTATTTCGTACACCTCTTTTCATGCCTCAAAACCAGACAAATGTAATATACAAGACCGATGATGATGAGTTATACATCTGCGCCATAGATAATGATACAAGGAGCACATTGCTCCAATTCAAGCAGGCTTTTGGATACCCACAGCATTCTTCCTTTTGCAGCTGGCCTGTTCTACTCCTTTATCGGAGATGTCTTTTCCCCCTTCTTCGTCTTCGTTTTCTCCTTCGACCGACCTCTCTTTTCCGAGCCCTTACGCGAATGCGCCTCTTTCCGCTTGTTCATGTTAGTCTTATTTCTTGCGTCAGCTTCCCATGCAAGCTTAACGCCTGTCTGTTCCTCCCTCTGCATGACCGAGTCTCTGTACTTCCTCCCAGCTTCTGTGCGTTCTGGTAGCGTTCCCCCCCACATTCTGTGCCATTCCCTCTCGCGATCCTCAGGGGTTGATACAAGCGCCTTCTTCCTGCGCTTCTTGAGTTCCTTCAAAATTTTACGCGCTCTGTCTGCTTGAAGCTCCACGACTGTGTATTCCACTTTCCAGTTGATTGGTTCCTCATGGTCGGAGCACGAGATACGTTCCACGACCTCGCCGTCGACCATGTTGCGGACTGTGACATACAAACCAAGAATGTCCTTCTTTGGTATGCTGTCACTTTCTTCGTCGGATCTTTCTTCCTCTGTCAGTGAGGGTTTGTCTGCTCCAGGGGTCTTGACAGATTCTGCTGGAGAAACGTCAATGGTGGCTGTGTTGCTATCATCAACCTCGCTAGCCGGCTCCTTCTGGTCTCGCACCAATTCCGACAAAACTCGCTCAAAGGTCCCCAGATTGCTCTGGTTGTTGTCAACACCTTGAGCAAACTTGATGATAAGGTCCTTGAGAGTAGCATCTGCTGAGTCGTCGCTGTTTAAGGAAATGTCAGTTCCATCGACAGCGTCGTTAATTATGGAACTATGCCCTTCATCCTCAGCCCTAGTCTCGACATCTTCGGTTAGGCCAGGCTCTGTCTCTTTCCCAGCGTATTCCACATCTTTAGAATCCACGTCATTATTGGAATTGTCGCCTTCAGATGCCTCAATGGATGGGAGCAGTGCATCCTCGGTTTCAGAAGAGGATTCACTCGTATCCAGTGCATTGTCTTCTGCTAATCCCATCTGAGCTGTGTCTTCAAGTTCACTGGCTGCTTCTTTGTTGTCCTTCAACTCTTCGGTCAAAGCCTCAACAAGTTCGTTGATGTAGGTTTCTCTCTCCAGCTCGGGCTTCCCAGTCAGCAAACCACTCTGCTCAAGAGCTTGCTCGATGGCCTCTCGCACACTATCCAAGCCGGCGGCGTCATCCTCCACAGTTTGGTCGACCTTGGCCATCATCTCATCCCACGACTTCTGTCTTTCGGTCGATGATAGCTTTTGAGTATCTTTCTTAGTCTGGGGCTCAGCTTCGTCATTCATTCGGCTGTTCTCTTCATCCTGTGGAATACGCAACATGTTGTTTTTAAACATAGCCACGGCTTCACTCCCCTTCTCCTGGGTTTTTTGAATCTCTTCATCGCTGACAGGCTCGGCGAAGAAATAAGTGAGAGGGGGGTTTGTTGGCCGAGTCTCGATGTGTAAACGTAGTGACTTTTTAGGGAAACGCTTCGTAGCTCTGTCCAAAAGATCGTTCAAGAGTTTGACACTGACTTTAAACTCCTCGTCTCCCACACTGCGGTTCGCAGTTCCATGAAGAGCCTCGTCCATTTCCTCGAGGCTAATATACTGAAAACCAAATATTCGTTGTGTGTTGTGGAACGCAACGAATATACCATCCATTCGGCCCATGCGCACTTGCAAAGAATACTTGAGGAACGCCGCTCTGATCATGTCGTAGTACTCACGTTCGAAAGACTCCCAAGTACCGAAACGGCTACGAATCTCATATCCAACCCCTTTTTGATAGCCTCCAACATCCATGCGGATGGAAACTACTGCACGGGTTTTCAGATCAAACATGCCCGTTCCTGGAAGTCGTGGATCATAAGCATCCAGCTGCGACCGCATCATAAAATCACCCAGCGTGGAGAAATGGAATGCTTCATCGGCATTCTTCTCCTCTTCGGATAACTCATGCGAACGGCTTCTCCTGTACTTTTCGAAGTGGGGTTTGTTGAGAGTGAGAAGTTTTTCCATTGATTTCCCCAGCATGCTCAGAACGTTGGCTGTGTCGAATTCTTTGTCGGCGTCAATAGCATACACACCGTCTTTATAACGGGCGAATGCGGCAGCAGGACCTCGGGTCAGCACGGTGAACGTATCATACTCGACCTCGAAAGAGCGGGATAAGTGTCTGAAACTCAAGGGCCTCCACGCTGAGAGAAGAAAGTGGAACTGGGAGAGC